AAAAAAAAAAAAAAAAAACAACCAGGAAGCAAAAACTACGTGAAAAGTTGCCAACTCAGCGAAGCGCAACGGTCACCTAAGTGTTTTATTAGCCCTCGAGTTCAAGTTGCGACTCTGAGTTGATTGTCAGTTGGTTTTTCATCGTTGAGAAATTGTTATATACTTTCTTATTATTATTATTGCTTTTTTTTTTTTTTTTGTGTGTGTCAGTTGAATGTCTCGGTCGCCTGCATCCAAGGAGCTCATCAATGAGTTGCGCCTGATCTACGACAAACATGATGTGAACCGGACTGGCAAAATAGATATTCGTCAGCTGTATCAGATCATGTTTGACGTAGGTTATGCGCCCACCGAAGGCGAGGTCCACGAGTTCATGGCCGAGGCAGATGAGGATGATAATTCGTATATTGGATTTGATGCGTTCATAAAAATGCTGGCGCCTAAGCTAAACGAAATGTTTAGCGAGGAGAATTTAGGCAAAGCCTTCGCAGTGTTCGATCGCCGCAAGGAGGGCTATTTCAATGCACACGATCTGGTGCTCGTTATGACCAGCATGGGTCAAGCGATTAGCGAAGCGGACAGCATGATGCTAATGGCCGATATCTCTGGCGACTATGAAAATCGCGTGTATTTGCAAGCATTTCTTGATTACCTGCTCTCAGATACAGCTGATAGCATGCATCGTTTATAGCGGCCCATACATATATACATATATTTACAAATTTTCTGTGTGGCAATAAAAATTGAGATTTGCTGCATGCAAATATGAGAATGAAAAAAAAAAAAAAAAAAAAAAATTGTTATTTTGAGTGCATAAAACCAGAAATTAATGCAGCAGCACGTTTCGTCCATTAAGCCGCTGAGCTTCGCTTGCTGACTTTTGCCTTGCCCTGCCTCGCCACGTCCTGCCCAGTCGCACATATGAAAAAGTGTTGTGTAAACATGTTAAAGCTGCATGTGGCTGCATGTGTATGTGTGTGGAGGTGACAACACTCTGGCCACGCCCATCAATGAAGCTAGAGGAATTGCTTTGTTTGCCCTAAGCAACGGCTACAGCTTTTACTTCCCAGCCGGCCAATGTCCACTGCTGAAAAGGACTCTGTCTGTCTCACCCTCTCTCTTCCTCTCTCTCTCTCTCCGTCCCTCTCCGGTTCGTTTGGTTCGTTGAGTGGCCTTAATATTTTCAGCTGACGTTCGCCTAATGAAAGTCCATGCCGCTGTCTCCMCGTCCCAGGCAGTTTTGTTCATTTTCTTGAATTGCTTGCCAACCATTTGACTTGGGCGTTCTTTTGAAATGAAAACGAACGGACGCCGGCCGGAAGGACAGTAGAGTCGGTCGCAGTTGCAATGGCGACACTTGCATTTTTGCCCAGTTATTTATGGAGCAAATAAACGAGTTCATTTAGCTAATGGTCGCATGGCCTACTGAGCTCACAAGAGTCTACTGCTCAAGGAGCTTGTTCAAGCTGCATGAGCACCGACTGTGTCTTGTCTGCCACAACAACAAAAACAACAACAACAATAACAACAAAAGAAAAAGGAGCAAACATCTAAACGTAAGCCAGTCAGGATTTCCATATACATATATAATAATATATATTGTATAAAGTCGCACGCACACATTCGCATCAAATTTTCCTCAATTTAAGCAGCTGAAATGGCAAAGCCAAAAAGTTTTGCATACTTTCGAGGGCTTGGCTCATTGTTCTGTTTTGTCAAATGTATCCAAGCGCCTTCCCCTCATCCCCCCTCCTTCCACAGATTTTATCCCATACCGTTATTCGTTTATTCGTCTGTCCTTTTGCATGTCTGTCCGCATCTTGGCTGCGGATTATTGTTCCCATATGTATATGTATTTGTATCTCTGTATCTCTGTATATCTGTATCTCTTTCTGGGTGTGTGTGTGTGCGTAACAGACCTAGCTCTGAGCAACAGTTTAATCAGACAGCTCGTAAATATTGAAGCCACAACACAGAAGAGAAACAACAACAATTTATAAATTCCAGCTTAAAATTGTCTTGATAAGGATACCAAGCAAAACCAACAACATGCAACGGATAATGATTACATTTCAACATTCTGTCCTGTGATTTATGCAACTCTCCAGAGTTTCACAATTATTTTTTCTTTCGTTTCGGGCCCAAAAGCATGTTGCTCATTTTTTATATTTTTATTTTCTGCCTTTCATTTAAAGCTTAGTTAGTCTCAAGCAACATTTGGAGTGGAAGTTGTGCTGCGTGTGTGGTTAGCCCCTTTGCTTGGGTTTGCCTGTTTAAGCCTGTTTTGGTTTCCTTTTTAATATATTCAGCACGTTTGCTTATCGTTTTCACTATTTTCGCTTGGATATAGTCATAATGATATTTACATACGGCAGTTTAGGGTTTAATCTCATTTTGATTGATAACATTTTCTTTTTTGCTTATTTTTTTCTCGTTATTTTGTTTGGTTTAAGAGTTTTAAGAACTTTTGGATTAGTTTATACGTTAGGCTTTATAGCTTCTATATTTTTTTTATACATTTTACCCTTCTCTTTCTCAACTTATCGTTTATCGTTTATCTATCGTTTTGTATTCCAGCAAATAATAATCGATTAATATAAAAGTTAACTTTTTTCTGTTAATATCTCAAATTTTTAACCCATTTAGAGTTT